ATGTGCACCGACTGAATAAGTAATCGCCACTTACGCATTTGGGTTGCTTCTTGACAGACAATATCTGACAATAAGGTAGTAAGTCAAGGAAACACTGGATTAATGGTTACAAACCTTAGTCGAAATCAATGGCTATTTATATCTGAGATAGAAAATTCTGGAGCTGTGGAGTGGGGGGAAAATAAACGAAAATCAGTGTAAAAGAATAGACTATTTAAGAGCTAATAAAGACCAACTAGTGAAAAGCCTGTTTTCCTTCGCTTAGCATTCAAAGGTGGTGAGACATCTGAAAGAATAAACAGAAGAATAAAGGCTGCACCGAGGAGCTTCCCTGATGCCAGACTGATCTCAGTTTACAATACATTATGTTCAATAACACAGTCAAAAGTGGACAAATACCCATCTCACGTCACCTCCAACTGCGTATATCAATTCACCTGTGCTTGTGGAAGCAAGTACATAGGACGGACTGAAAGAAGGGTGACTACTCGATTTTTTGAGCATATTCAGAGAAATCTGTGTCTAAATGATAGCAAGGTCTTTAAAAGTGCAATCGTCATGCATCTGATGGGAACAGGACATCAAATAGATGTTTCCCAATCCTTCGGGATAATCAAAAAACAAAGAACACCGTATTTATTACGGTTTGTGGAAGCTCTCGCTATCAATCACTTTAAACCTAACCTATCTACTCAGAAGGAGACTGTCATTAACCTTTCTTTACCTTGGTAAATGTATATAATTTTTGCATATGAATGTATATAGTCTTCCCTTTTCTTCTGATTGCATCATCTCTTCATTAACTACTTACTGAATATAAATCACCCAATGATTTTCAAGTTTTTAATGCAATTACTTAACCTATTGGCTTTTAAATAGTCTCTTCTTTGACACTGATTTTCGTTTATTTCCCCCCCACTCCACAGCTCCAGAATTTTCTATCTCAGATATAAATAGCCATTGATTTCGACTAAGGTTTGTAACCATTAATCCAGTGTTTCCTTGACTTACTACCTTATTGTTAATCCTGGATTTCGAATCTCCATTTATTTCTGCGTGTTTAACGTATGTTATGTTATTATTACTACTCATAATTCATTTTGATTGTAGGCTGTTTGCAGTTAATGAAAGGCCATGAAATAAAATGAGCTCATTTTATTCTGCAAATGTCTTCGTTCTTGCATTGTTCAAATTTGTCAAGGGAAGTCGATTTTTGCATCAACAATTCCTTGAAGAACAAAGTACACAGTTTTTGTTGGGGAACAAGGTAAAATATAGGCGCAGCATTCTAAGAATCTTAAGCAGTTTACCATTAGGGCCAGTTTGTGTTGATTCTAAACATGACAAGATGGAGCACAGTAAGTCCATCCTTTCACCTACTTAGTGAGTCCTAGTGGTTCGATAGTTGGATTTCAGTATAAATACAAAAGAATGCACTGTATTTTATCAAATTACGTGTTTTGCCAGCAGGATATTGGAATATATATTCAGTCTTAGATTTTGTTTTTGAACGTTTGCTATCTCCCTAAACTTTTGTGAAGCATTACCATTTACGGTAGAAAATATACAAAGAACAAATGTGCTTGATATTCGTAACAACGTAAGCTCCAGCAGTTAGTAGATCATGTGAAGAATCAACTAGCGCAGCTATAAAACTCCACCAAATGAAGATTAGATGTATCAGGCATATCGAACCACCATATGAATTTACACTGTAAATTAGGTGAAATAGGATTATAGGTTGGAATTCATCATGGACTGACATCAGTTGGAAGAACATTGAAAACCTGAGAGCACTGGACAGCTGTTTTGTCCCCAGCATTGAGCAACCATAACCCCACTAGGGATCAAACCCAGGACTGTTAGGTTCTGTGGCCAGCACGTTACCATTGAGTCACTGGGTCGGAATCCAATGGTTTACATTTCCTACTTCGGTCAGTTCACGATATAGCAAGACCTATATTCAATGTCGTCGTTGAGTAACTGTCCCCCATGTTCTACTTAGTTGATTAGGTTGGCGAAGGACATGTGGCAGCTTCATCAAAAACGACCCCAAACTACAAAGTTCCTACCTAGTGATCTGAACTGAGTAAAAACGTGTAGGCTTGTCAGTTGGCTTCAGTAAGGTAATCGGTATGAATGGTTGCAAATGCTTAATGCTATACTTGTAAGTTGATTACACTGATGGAAGGTCAGCTACGAAATGTCTTTAAAAAACCCTAAAGGTTTGACTGGAGTGAATTTCAAATCGTTACATTTTACACTTTGAATTGTGACCTTTAAATTGCCTTGCCTGCACGCATGTGCGTTACAAGCTATTGTTTCATTGCATAAAAGCACCTTTTACTTTTGTTTTCCGGTTCACATTAATTCTAATACTTTTTTCTTTTAGATTCTTGTAGTGGCTACTGTTTACCTTTAGTACCCTTTTCGAAACATTCCATTGCAATGACGAATCTATGTGCAGAATGCAGTGCCGGTATCCGTCATGTTGCCACATAAGCTTCATGTGGCCTGACTAACATCAGTGTTCATTATTTCGTTCAAATAGTGTGTAGAATGAGTAATTGTGAGGGTAACTTTAGTTAATTTCTTCAATTATTGTAGTATTTATTTGTATTTATTGGAACAAAATAATGACCACTAGTGTCAATCACACCATATAAAGCTTACGGCCAATATGTCGGATACCGGTAATCTGCAGGATGTGATCCAGTGAAAAACTGATAGTTATTTCGCCACATCGTAACTTTGTTCGCTTTATTTAACCCTGTTTGTCATGTAAATTTCTCGAAAACTTTTCAATGCTTTTACTTCTATTGTCACAGCGAACTAAGGACTAGGATGACTGGTAGCTCTCAATCTATATTCTCTAGAATACAGAAGACTTAGAGGGAATCCGATAATGGCCTACAATATCCCAAGCACACTAAGATATCCAAGTCGTCACTTATTTAACCTTAGCTAAAACACTGATCTTAGAGAACACACAAAAATTACGCCTAGAATGTAGAAGGTTAGATCTAGAAACTCTCTCTGTAGAAGCGGCGCAGAACACTTCATCTGAATTCTTCATAGGTCACCTTGATATCTAATAACTATGTGGGCTGGATTTCAAACAACTAAATTGCACTTCCCACTTTAATCGATGCAGTCTTCTGTTTCTTTCTTTTGTACATAGGTTGACAACCAAAGAAACATGTGGTTGATTACTCCTAGACAGGGAAGCCATCCACGCAAAACCTTTTCTTTTCCTGTACCATCGATATGAAACCATTCAATTTGAATGTGGCCTATATTATCTTAGTTATCGAAGGTTACGAGGTGATTTGACGATGGCTTACAAAAAAGTAAACAATCCAAGTCGCCCAAACGGGGGAATAATAACGAGTGGCAGCCATGGTGAGCCTCGCGGAAACCCAAGGAAAATTCCCCACCAAAAATCAAAAACTCGTGTGCGTTTGAACTCCTTCTCCGTTCAAGTCTGAGAGCACTATAATCCGGTACAGGCAGATTTAGCCTGCGCCCCAACTGTCGATAGTTTCTAGAAAAGGCTAGACAGTTACGTAGTGACCCACGGTTTACGCTCACCTAGTTGGAATACGAACTAGACCGAAGAAATCAACCGCTGTCACACCATTCCAACACTGTTACTTCTACACCATTCTTCTCCTATTTTAAGTACTTAAGTCCTTTCCGTCCTTCTCATTCACCTAAGTTCTGCATATCTTTGCACCCCTCTCGTCTTACTTGGATATACGTACATTACACTATCGTCTCACTTTTCTTTGTCTTTTACTCACATGCATTTGTCTTTCCAGGTTATCTTCACTATCCATAATTTTCTATTACAACCAGTGAGAAAAACTGTCTGGCAACTCAACATCTGAAGAACACAATTGTACCGCAGTCCCAGACAAAGTAACCAACACTCAACCACCTGTTGCGTATGTCACAGCTATGGCAGACGAGTGGTTGGATCTACTGTGCCGGAATCCGCCAAAAACCTGAAACCTTTCTGTAAGACCTAGAAGCGAGCACGAAGAGATCTACTGGTTTACACAACCTCACTAAACAGATAGTGGACATTGGAATGTGGACCAGGTTTTATTTACCTGCGTCGGCAACAAATAGTCACGAAACTGCTCTCTAACAAACCTTTATTTCCGGAACACCTAATGTATGTCTACTATAACACCTTGTGATAGTCCACTAAAAGACATCCCAAGTAATAACTATTATCATAACATAATGTGTCCGGTTAACGCATTTCCTGAGTGTAAGCAGTAAGTTTAGGACAGACAAATAACCATTCTATGAAGAATGATGCCGACGTAGGTACAACGTACCTTATCACATTAAAATCAATATTTCTTAGCCTCACGGACAAGCCTAGTTTCGTAATGAGTCTAGAAATAGTACTAGTTTTCCAACTGGATTGCGCATGGTATCCATGTTCAGTGACTTGCTAAAAACAAGTTTTGAACAGTAATTTATCTAAATCTCTTATTAAAAAGACAACATAACTCTCCGAACTAACAACAGCATATGTCCCTAAATATATATTTGACGAAACGTTACCGTTCAGTAATGCAACACTAAGCGCCATGTACGCATAAGACTTCATACAGACACCTGAGTGCATGTCCAAATGGAGATTAATACGTGTAAAAAAGTATAAAAACAATTAAATTCAAATCGAACTCAGCACAAATCAGGTTAATAACGCGCCTAAGAGTAACTACTCATACGACTTTGAATTTAAAAAACGACTGCAACATGATTTTATCCCAAAAATGACTTGTCACAATATCCCCACACATCTTATAAGTAAACATTTAGCATACGTACTACATAACAGCATGAATAAACACGTTGGAAGTTAACAGCTTGTAAGGATATTTGTAAGAAGGCAATGTCGCGAATTAAATATTACCTCCTTTTATTTCAAAAGGGGAGTGGAGATAAGGATTAGGAAGCAGCAAAATGCGGAAACTAACCTTTCACTTTGAAATTATGCACAATTCCACAAATAAATCCAACAAAAAGTGCAAACTCATTTTCTTCAAATGTGAGCTTTTTAAAAATATGCCGTTATGGACGCCATGAAGTGCTTATGTGTGGTGGTTCATCTTAACTAAACTCAGTATGCTAACTGCATATATAAATGAAAATGACCTAAAATTTAGTCTCATATTGTGAATAATTCATAACATTGGATTCGTGGTTGGTACTTTCGTCGTATGAATTAGGCTACCAATACGCTACTCACTAGAAATGACGTCAAAATAGTTGTAGATACTGACGTGGGGTTTCATAATATTTGCTCTACCTCTGACTTGACATTTCAACAGCCTGTACCCTATGCCACGGCTGGCATACACTTTCTTATGTCCACCGCAAAGTTCTCACAAATGGCTCCTCATAATGCATTTGGTCTAGTGTATGATCCGTTTTCTGCAATAGCTCTGTGCTTCCAGCTTACAGTTATAAATCCCTATGATAATTTTGCGGTTTCGAAAATCAACTATTTGCTTAATTACCTGTCTGTAAGGTGTTTTGTGCCTTAAACTAGTGTCTGAAGCCATGAGAAAGAACTGTGCCAAGTTTTCACTGATATACCATATTATTTTGGCTCAAAAGACTTAAAGATTTTTCTGAAATGCCCTTCTTCTAAAAAGGTGGAGATAATGAATAAATAACCTCAAATTTTTTTCATGAACAGGTCAAATTATGATTGCTACCAGGCCGGTGTTGAGAGTTATTACAGCTATCTTCCATGTCTTCATAATCCACTGTTTTCCACTCCCATTCAGTAGCCCGTGGAAAGGTAAGGAATTAGATGATTCAGCTCACTTTTGTTCTGTCCTTCTTCGTGTTTGTCAACCATCCAATACCAAACATCGTTACATGACCCTGAGAAAACCAATCCATTTCTTTACGCTCGCCTCTGTGTCTCTCGGAACGGTTCCGAGTAAACAGTTGATTCCGGTGCAGTAGATCTACCCGCTAGCCCGCTGTAGCTCTGGTTTGGCTGACAGGTGACTGGATGCTGGTTAAATATATTGGAATTGTACGGTATGCCTACGGAATGAGTAGAGGACCGTCTTCTCGAGCGCCATACCGTGACACAGTCGTTCGGACTGGCAGTAAATGAAAAACAAAAGATATGCAGCGAAAATAAAGGACAGGAAATGAAAAAAGGCAAAAAGAACCAGAATTAAAGGAACGAGAGAATGTAGAGAAATCATGGGAGAGGAACTGTCAGGGAGGCCTAATCTCCAGGAAAAACCAACTTATAATATGTGTCTACTATCGCAGCCAAAATTAAACCTTATTTTCGCACCCTTTCTGCGTTATTTAATGTTGCTTGTCCCGGCCACGGTTTGGTACACCAAACGCAGGTTGGTCCTTTCTAAACGTTAATACGCTATTTTTTCTCTGGCTAAGGCCATCTAAGGATACATACATGACCGAATTTTCAGCTACGAATTTACTCATTCGGTCAAAGTGAATATACCCCATCGTCCTCTTCTGTTGTCAGCTGAACATTGGGTTGTTCTATAGTTAATCGTATCGTGTCGAAGCTGTGTATAGTTGTACATACCGTGGCCCATAAAAGAAATCTTGTAAGCGGAACCTACATAAGTAGGTTGAGATCATGGAATTAGAGGAAGGATTAGGAGCGGGCAAAGTTATGGGAGAATTATGGAAATATAACCGTGAAAGTTATCAAGTGAAACATGGTAGCCAAAATTGAGACGTCTAACAGGGAGGCATAGGGCTAAACCAAGCTCACGATGACCGCGGTGGTGCAAAAGACTCGTCACAGGGTTGCACATGCTGGAATAGGCGGAATCAATTAATCGTATCGTCCTGGTCTGCATCCCACCTGGATGATCCCAAGCCATGCGTCACTGCGTGGCAGTTCAACCTTCCAATCTTCCTAAAGCCATTGACAGATGGAGCAGCGACGATTTGGCATGGAGTGCACCCCAGAAGCTGCAAACTCACACGGCGAAAAGGCATGAGTGGACACTGGGTTTTGGCCGCCAGAGGGGCATTGCTCCTTGGATCACCACAGGGATTTCCGCATCGCCCCTTTTGTAGTATTTCACTGTTCGGATGACGCGGGTTACTCAGCATGTTTCAAGCTGCCATCAGATTTCTGCGTAATCTACAGTAGCCAGGAGGGTAATGCACTTTGTCTTTCGGACTGCTTTCATAGGGTTTTTGCTCTAACTCCAGCCCCAGGCGGTCAGACATCATTTGCCACCTGGGATTTGGATACAGCCTAATAAGTCGCAGAACGGGAGGCTACAATGAAAACTGAAAACGGTGAAGTTGGCTGTATCTCCGGTGGACCGTATGGAGGCGAAAAACAGGGGAGTAGGAAAAATAGCGCCGATGAAGTGCACTTAGACAGGTTACTAGCCCCGTACCTAAGGAGCAAGCTTGCAAACTGAACACTGGAGAGGCTTGCGGAAGTACGCTAGAGTAGATAGCATCAGCTGCATTTACGCAAATGCCCAAAGATTGCCAAATATGCTCGATGAACTGCGGGAACCAAGTAAGTAAACTCATGCTCACCCCAAAGTTATAACAACTCAGTCCAGAATAATAATAATTATAATAGCTATAACGTGGGTTTCACAATGACAGGGGGTGGCGTGGGGACGCAGTAAGCTCGCTAGAAGGTGCATCAGCCTTGTTTGAATCTTTATGTAAGTTTTCTAGGGATTCTTCGAGTCAAAGGAAATTTTCCAGTCCTTATGGGTCCAGCCACATAGCGCCAATCTTCAAAAGAGATCAGTAGATTAATTCGGGGAGACCTAGACCGGTTACGCCCTAATCCATGCCCTCCAAAGTAAAGGAGCAGTTATTTTACGACGGACCTGGGGGTTATCTTATGATGCTTGCCCTTTTTGTACATCAACAGGGGGGACCTAGAGGTTAGCACTCTTGCAATACTAACGCACCCACTACAACGAACAGATGGAATGGTTTTTTCAACGTCGAGTAAAATTGTTGTTATTTATCTAGACTTTCCTAATGCTTGTAATCGTGTTAATAACGACTGCCCTACAATAAATTAAAATTAATTGACGCCAAATCCGCGCTCATTGGCTGGTTGTTCTGATATTTATGCGCCCCTTACTTGAAGCTCGAGTAGGTTGTTCGATCCCCTAGGAAACAGAATACCCTAAAACCACTCACCGGGCATTGGTTCTGAGGCCTTTTCACTTTCTAACACTCATCAACGACCTGCATCAACGGGTCTCTAACTGAATACTTCTTTTTGCCCGATGACGTGAAAACTTGGAGAGGAATCACAAGTCAGAAAGAAGGTATCTCCCTCTAGGAGCACTAAATCTAGCCTCAGAATTGAGTGATCAATGTTAAGGTTGCAGTTATCATCGAATGAGGTGCATCTCCACTTGTGTGGCCCCGCTGCAGCATACTGGAACAAACAACGAAGTTAAGAAATACTTTTTACTTTTCCTCAGTGTTTCGACCTCGACGAGATTAACCCAGGTTAGCCCTAGAAGATGAAAGACGACACACCTGAAAAGTGACGCATGTCATGTATATAGTCCCAGTGGCATAGAAATAGGAGCGTTGCAAGGGGGAAGCTGCTGTGCGCTTGAACCCATCGAAGCTTGAAATTCAAAAACAAGTGTTTCGGAAATACACTTCTTGGAAACTTAATAGTAGTGAATCCAAGATGAAGTTTCGGATAATGCTATCACAGATGTTTTTGCCAACTATTCACCAGATTCATACAGCCTTACCAAAAGTTCAGGACCTTACTCTTCCCTTCCCTCCACAGAAAGATAAGGCAGGCTTGGAACTCATTTCAAGGTGGCTGACCGAGTCAGTTGGATGATTTGGGTCTGAAAAATATGAGGAGCCACTAGTCGCCTTAAATCCTTGTTCTCTGCAGCATAAAGGACTAAGAGGGAATTCGACAGTGGTTTGCAATATCCTAAGTACATCCAGACATCCAGTCCGTCACTTATTTAACCCTAATTTAACTAGGAAAATGAAGCCAGTAACACAGGTTCGATACAAACCCCTACGAATTGACAAGTCCAAGAACCCTCTCCCAGCCCATGTGACATAGACTACTTCACCTGAATTCCCTAGCATTGGCTTGACACTTGCCTAGGGCATTCGTATGAGCTCACCCGATTCTCAGACTATTTTCACATTTTAATTTCCACTGTTTTCCCTCCTTATTTGCAAGCAGCTTACATCACTCTGACTAATGATCAACTGCTTCTAGATATAGAGACAGGCCAGTTGAAATCTTCTTTCACTCCTTCAGCAGCCATTTGAAACATTAGAACCGTTTTACTGCAAAAACCCTCCAGAGGGGATTCTTTTTGAAGGAGTTTTGATCGTTCATCTTGGATGTCTTCCTAAGTCGGTGGATTTCCAATAATTACCATATTTTCCAGTGCCGATTCCTTACCAAGCTGTGGAGCACATACTCATATCAACGATTATATAGACTGGTGTGGCTGAAAGTCTATCTACCGAACGCAGGCGGCTACCCGATTACATGTGAGAACTCAGTACAACTGAATTCAAATCCAGAAATGGTTCTGGGATTGAAACACAATGGCAATCAGTTGATGGGGTGGCAAACAAATTTCAAAGACTTACTACGGCCAAAAGAACCGATCAGAGGCTAAAAAAGTGGAACGAGCCATTGGCTTGCAAAACAGTGGGATAGAAACAATCAGCATATGCAACAATTCCATTTGCGGTTGGCAGACACTCTAAACGAATCGCCACTTTACATTTTGCTTGTGCAAAACACCTACAAAACACACTTTTGCACAAACTGCACAAAGAGTTTGCGCTTATTTCTCGTATTTGCTTGAGAGCGCACTGCCCTCTGCGCACTTCAAACCAGTTAGGTGCCCTAGTGGGAGTGAGTCACTCTCTTTGACGCTAGGGGCAACTAGGATTGTATCCACTGGCACATCCTTGACGAAGTTAAATTGGAATAAATACGGAAAGTATCCGTGGTGGATACCTCAGTCTCCCTTAGCTCGGTCGAACGCATCCATAACCCCCCACATCAATAAATAAGTTCGGTCGGCGGGTCTTCACTACAGTTATATGCTTGTGTGGCAATCATCTCAAACTCAACCATTATTGCAGTATATCTGATTTGAGACAATTAAATGCCTCTCAAGAATTGGACTCGCGCGAACTTTACGGATACAGAGGCCAATTACAAAATATTCACACCTTCAATATACCCACGAATACGAGACCAAGGAAGGACACGATGCTCGAAATGGGCATTATCAGACCGTCAAACAGTCCTTGGGCATCATCATTGCACATGGTTCCCAAAAAGGATAGCAACGACTGGCGTCCAACCGGTGATTACCGAAGGCTTAACGCCAAAACAACTCCGGACTGCTACCCGATACCTCACGTTTACGATTTGAACGCAACCTTATGACAAATGAACATTTTCTCCAAAATCGACTTGTTCAAAGCGTACAACCAGATACCTATGGCAGCAGAAGATATCGCGAAAACAGCCATTATTACTCCTTTTGGCCTGTTTGAATTCCTGCGCATGCCATTTGGTCTTCGGAATGCAGCACAAACATTCCAACGCTTTATGGACGATGTCTTCCGTGGTCTGAATTTTGTTCATGTCTACATCGATGACTGTCTAATTGCGAGTCCAGATAAGGAAACTCACCTTAAACATTTGGACCTCGCATTCGAAAGACTTAAAAAACATGGCATCACAGTTAACTTACAGAAGTGTGAAATAGGAGTTGAATCACTCAGCTTCCTTGGGCATACCATTGACAACAAAGGTATACGCCCATTGAGAGATAAAGTGGCGGCTATCACAAACTATCCAGAGCCGACCACTGTGAAACATCTCCGCACTTTCAATGGCCTGGTAAGTTATTACCGAAGGTTTATCCCTAACTGTGCCTCTGTCATGAGACCACTCACAGATCTACTTCGAGGAACTGCGAAGTTCGTGTCTCTGGACAACGCGGCTAGACTTGCTTTCTCTAAAGTCAAGGAAGCCATTTCGAACGCAACCATGCTTATGCATCATGACCCCAATGCTCCTCTGAGTATTGCTGTTGATGCATCTGATTCAGCAATTGGAGCAGTTTTGCAACAGTTGACTGACAACCAGTGGCAACCGTTAGCCTTTTTCTCGAGGCGGCTGCAAGACGCGGAAACAAGATACAGTACATTTGGTAGGGAACTCCTAGCCATGTACTGTTCTGTACGCCATTTTCGACATTCTGTGGAAGGTCGTGATTTCATTATTTTCACAGACCACAAACCGTTAACGTTTTCCCTCAGCTCGGCGTCTGACAAATACTCCCCTCGTGAGTCGCGACAGCTGGATTACATTTCCCAGTTCACGTCAGACATCCGCCACATTTCTGGAGCAAACAACTCCGCAGCCGACGCACTATCTCGAATAGCTTCGATAAACTATATCGAGGGTATTGATCTCGTTGAACTAGCTCGGCGTCAAAAGGAAGACCTTGAGCTGCATCATGAGTTGTCGTCCACAACTCTCAAACTGCGACTTTGTCCTGTTGGATCAGACAAGGATACAATTTTGTGCGATGTCTCTGCTAGTCAACCACGCCCAATAGTTCCGAAGAGTTGTCGACGCAACGTCTTCAATACGTTGCACAAACTCTCTCATCCAGGTGTACGAGCCACCATTAGGCTTATCGCACAACGTTTCTGCTGGCCTGGGATGAACAAAGACGTTAAGGAGTGGGCCCAGTCGTGCTTAGCTTGTCAAAAGTGTAAAGTCACGCGACACACGAAAAGCCCTTTAGGCTCATTTCTAGCCCCAGACATGCGTTTCGACCACGTCCATATAGATATTGTAGGACCCCTACCAGAATCTAATGGATGTACCTACCTTTTCACTTGTGTTGATCGTTTCACACGATGGCCGGAAGCAGTACCCATTAAAGATATTACTGCCGAAACAGTTGCTCGTGTTTTCGTCGAAAGATGGATCGCGAACTTCGGATGTCCATCTTACGTCACAACCGACCGTGGGCGCCAATTTGAGTGTGGATTATTTCACGCTCTAACGGCACTTTTAGGTTGCACTCGGTTCCGAACGACAGCCTACCATCCACAAGCAAATGGCATGGTAGAGCGTTTCCATCGACAGCTGAAAGCTTCCCTTTCAGCTACAAACATACCTCAGTGGACCGAGGCTCTGCCTCTAGTCCTACTAGGTATTCGTAACGCGTTGAAAGTTGATGCTGGATGCACTCCTGCAGAACTCGTCTATGGGACCACTCTTCGCCTACCAGGTGAGTTTGTTTCCCCTTCAACTTTCAAACATGTTTCCGACAGGGCATCTTACGTGACTAGGCTTACAAACGCAATGCGTTCAGTTAGGCCTTCTCCGATTAGACCGCAAACGACTGATGTTTTCGTCCACCCCAGTTTACAGAAGACATCACACGTGTTTGTTCGCCACGACGCTGTTCGTCGACCACTTGAACCACCCTACGACGGGCCGTTCAAAGTGATTAAGCGACATGAGAAATTCTAATAATTGAGCGAGACGGACGTGAAGATACTGTCAGTATCGACCGTTTGAAACCAGCTTATTTCGAAGGCAACCCCATTATAAGTGACGTTTCAGCTCGCTACATCCAGCCGACGGATGACTCAATTATCGAAATTCTCGACGATGTGCCTGGTAATGCACAGCTGCAACAACCATCGGCGCAACAAAAAACACGATCAGGTCGAACCGTCAGGTTCCCACAGTATCTGAAGTCATATTCAACTTAGCGGTGTGTGCCAACCATACTTTTTACTTCAAATATTTTTTCGAGGCACTATTTTTCTTATTTACCGGCAATGCACAAGCCCCGTACACTTTGCCTCTTTATATCAATTTTTATTACCATGTAATAAAACTTTAAAAAAAAGGCGAAAATAAGCGTAAATTTTTATTTCTCGGTATGTTTATGTATAAATAATTCCCATTTTTACGAGACGTTTTCGTGGTATTAAAGAACTTTATTTATATTCCAGGTGCAACGAGCACTGGACGGAACGTCAAAAGGGGCTGAGGACCGCGATCGACGTACAATTCGATTTATTGTATTTTATTATTTAAATGCCACGACACCCTAGAATAAGTTCAGACAACCAGGGGCCACTTCACGCAGTGAGCCCATCGGAAGAGTTTTACCAGTGGAGAAACCACTGGGTTTTTACTTCCGGCTGGTATCGTCTTAGGGTCCTCACGAACCCCCTAGAGGGGGAGTGATCTGTAGCGTCAAACACTTCCCCAAAATCAATAGCCTAGGGTTTGACGACTTTCGACATTGATGCTGACCTTGATAGTTTAACTGGACTCGCTAAGCTGGAGGCACCCGGTCAAGCATCCTCACCATTTGGCACGCTGTCGTGTTACGTTGCACTGCTCGTATTCGACTCTCTAGCCAGTTAGTTGGAACGCATCGGTAGTTTGCCACAACCATCCAAATATACTATTCCATCCGACTAAGCTATCGTGTTCTTCCTTTGTCGCGTATTCGTGGGTATATAACAAGTCCGAATAATTGGTGACCTGTCTTTGCATGTGTCGAGTTCGCAACAGGGCAAATCCCAAAAGGTCAGGCCCTCTCGCCTGGTGCTTTGAAATGACCCAAGCTACCTGGTCCAATTTCACCGCTGAGGAAGACGTGTGATGTCTTTTGCAAGAGTGCGCGTAACCTTCTCAATTCTTTGATATGCTGTTTGGTACAATGTGTTCCTTCTCGTGTGTCTACAAAGGGATGGCAGAAGCACGGGATAATTATTGTGATGGGCGCGATAAATGCCAACCGCGGAGTTCGCTGTCAATGCATCCATGCCGATTGACATGTTTGAAATCACATGCCACGAGAAAAGTCTATTGCATGACAAAGTTCATGACTAGGTGTTTGATGAGAAGCGCCATTCACCAAGTGAAGGTAAGTGGCGCTACAGATCACTGCCCCCCAGTGAGTTCGTGAGGACCCCAAGACAATGCCAGCCAGAAGTATAACTCCTCCGACCGCTCACTGACGGCAGCATCCCCTAGTGGTTTGGACTTATTCCGGGGTGTTATTGAAGGGGAAAAAGATGCATAAATCTGACGTTCCATTCAGTTTTCGATGTACCTAGAATAGAGACAAAAGTCCTTAACACCACGAAAACGTTTTGCAAGAATGGGGAACAACCTTAAATAGGTAAAGTATAGAAGATAGATCCTATGCCTAGTAACATTTTGTTTTTTAAAAGAGTATGGTAGTCAAAAATTGGTACAAAAGATAAAATATGGGGGAAGTTTCGCAGTCCCACCTTGAAAAATGGTGCCCCGAAGAAATTCGAGTTTACGAATAGTTGGCTGATTTTCACTCGCACTGCTCAGTTGGATACGTTTTCAGATATCCTGGGGACCTGATGGTTTGACCTGATCGTATTTCTGCTGTGCCAACGGTCGTTGTATCCGTGTATTATCAGGCACATCGTCACGAATTTCTATGTGAAACGTTGTGAACGAAGACGTCAGCTGTTCGGTGTCGAACGGGACTTCGCCTAACCAAACACACCGCGTTTGTAAGCCCAGCCATGTAAGATGTTCCATCAAAACTTTTGTGAAAGCTGAAGGAGAAACGAACTCTCCCGGTAGGCGGAGAGTGGTCCCTTTGGCGATTTTTACAGAAGTGCATCTAGCATCAGCTTT